AGAGAGAGAGAGAGAGAGAGAGAGAGAGAGTGGCACATACTATATTTTGGCCTGTAGGAGGGAAGATTACTCAAAATACCTCCTTTGTGAATAGAAAACAAGTTTTAAGCATCCTCGAGCAAAAGATCTTAATTTTTTTGATAACTCTTGTCAGAGTGTAAATGCTAAGATAATAATATTTTAGGATGCTAATTACATATTCTAGTAGTAAATACGTTCCATCAAAATGTTAAGTAAAATAGTAAAATATGCCGAACCGCAATAGAACCTAGACAAATGGCAACTATCCAATACAAATACTTTTAAGTAGTACTATATTGTTTTCTTGAAAGAATGCCTCAGGCTGCATACTTTTTATAGCGAGTAATAAAGGTACTTTGAAAGTCTCAGTTGTTGCATACTTTCAGATGCACAATATCGCACTTACAATCGCGAAACCCACTGTCTTTTATAAATCAGAAATGCGCGAAACTTAAAAATACCAACGGATTTGCTTTCTAGTAGCTTCAACCTGCCCCCCAACATAAAAAATTATTAGGACAATATTAAACTTAAATACTTATCGAATATAAATATATGTATGTATAGGACGAAAATTAGCAATGTATGTCATTTACCGGCGAGTCCAGTCGACGCCGCAGCGGCAGCGGCAGCAGCAGCATCGCTGGATCTAAACGCTGTCTCCTCCCCAATTTGAGTGCGCGCGCGACCGACAGCGCTTACTTGATGATAATCAACCGTCACTGTCGGCTGTTCTGGCGCTTGCGGTTGATAGTGTGATTGTTGTTGGTGGAAATGCTGTTGCTGCTGCTGCTGCTGTAGCTGGCGATGATGATTTGCGGGGGTGTATTGCCGTGATTGCATTGCTTGCATACCTTCTGTTTTTTGTTGTGAGTAGTAATTTGCATTCGATTGCATAGCGTTAGCAGCAGTTTGTTGGAAACCAATTGGTGGCGATGACGATGTGCCGTAATAATGTAACGGAGACGAGCGCATAGTAGAGGCCGAATTGTTAAGCTGATTTTGCGCTGGTGGCTGTTGTAGGGCTTCATTGACATGGTTATTACCCTTTGTACTGATTGTGTTACTAACACCACCCCTACTGTCTGCTAAGCCAGCAGCAGCGCTTAACGTTGGCGACAGCACAGTGGGTGTCGTGGGTGCCGATTGTGTGCCGTTTGCGGCTGTGTTTGTGTTTGTGCCGCGTTGCGAAAGTTTAGGTATTTGAAATTTGCTGTTAAGTCCCTTCATGAAGCCCTCCATATTGGCTGCCATTGCAGGTGAGGCAAACTGTAATATTTTCAACATATCCGCCTGATGATCCATGCGCGTCACTTGCTGTGTGACGGTTGGTGTTGTGCTACTATAAGCGCCGCTGGCAGACTTTTTCATCGATTTTCGTGAAGACCCACTGGTGCTGCCAACCAAATCCCCAAATGAATTTGTGCTAAAACTCTTTGTCAAACCGCTACCACCAACCACTGCGGTGCTGGACGATTTTGTTGATAAGCTGCCTGAAGAATTGGACTTCTGGAATGGATGTTTAGTGGTGGTGGCACTTTTCTTGAAAGGCGACTTTGCTGCCAACAACTTTTTTGAGGCCGGGCCGCTATTGACGCCTGGTTTGAGGCCAGTGTGTTGTTTCTTGCCAGTTGCATTTGTAGCGCTAGTGACGCTGCTTGATTTGGCACCCTTCGTTGCGGCTGTTTCAGAAGAAGACGTAGTAGTGCTGCTGCCTGCTGAAATGCCACCACCCAGACTGCTATTGCAACCGCTGTTGTTAGTGTTGCTACTACTGCCACCTATGCTAGATTTGCCACCACCGCTGCTTGTCTTGTTGATAGTGAGCTTTAAGCCCTCTTGACTCGTCTTCACCATATATTCAGAAGAACTGGATTGCTGCAGTGTTGACTCGGCCTGTTCTTCGCAAACTTTGGACTCACTGCTGCCAATGGCCAGCGGCGAGTGTGGCGCCACTGCCGGGACCGCTTGTGTTGCTGTTGTTGGTTCGACTGATGTCATTGACACCATCGAACTAACCTGACAAAAGAATTTCGTATCATAGAGGGTGTGTGTGTGTGTGGGTAATTACGCGTCGATAGCGTGAAAGGAACGTGAAGTGCGCGTGCGCGTGTGTAAGAACGTAAATGTGAGAAAAAAGAAGAGCAGAGAAAGTGGAAAGAAATTAGATAGAAAATTGGAAAAAGTTTTGGGAAGTGGAAGTGCGAAAACTGTTAGTAAATGTTAATAGAGTACTTGGAATTTTTAATTTAATTTTTTTAAAGAAAAATTCTGTGTTTTATTTACCATATTTTTTATGTATTACTGTTTTTTGTAATATTTAAAAATTCTTTCTCATTCATATTATTACATATTTTATATTAAAATAAAAACAAACAAATTTTTTAGGTTATATTACCTTTGTTAGTTTCAATATTTGCTATTTTTTAGTTTATATACCTTCTTTGTAGTTTATATTGTTTTTATTTAATTTTACTTTTTTTTTGCCAACGAATCATTGTTGATGTTGTTGTAACAGCACACGAATTCCCCAAAGAGTTTTTGGAGAGTGTGATTGTCGTGTCGAATCATCAAAGCTGCCGCTACGGCAAGGTTATGTCCGGTGACTAAAACATTCCTCCACACTGACTTTTGGGAACCGTCACCCACCCTGCGACCACCTGCATATCGCATATTGGCGCTCCGTATTTCTCAAAACTACATACTTAGTTGGTCTTTGATGCAACCGGGTCCGTACCCTCGGGACGCCCCAACTGGTATCATCGTGATCATTCGTCCGAGATGCATATTCCGTCATTTAAGATGCATATTCCGTTTTTTCCCATTTTGTTTAGGTGCTTCTTGAAGTACGGGATAAACGGTAAAACTTGGAAGCATTGTATAGTTTTCGACGATTTTGGTCGTTTACTTATTTCATTACGACAGTAGACAATGCCACTAATGTCGGGTCGTACAATTTAGCCTAAATTACGACTTACGCAATGAGGCTGAATATACATCTGTGGTCATAAGCAATAATCGCCTACGTTTTAAATATTTGAATTGTAATGTTATCCTTATGGGGATAGCAAAATATTTTCGCCTATAACTTTTTAAGTAGTCTAGCTGGCGAGACGAGGATTTCACATACGCATGGAATAGTGGTTGAAGAATACGATAGCATATACAACTCCATTCTTTCTTAAGTCGACTTAAGCGGTTATTGCTTGTGACCATAGATATTGCTATCTAAAGGTGAAAAGGTTCCATATTTCCTTTTTATCAAAGTTTAGTTCTAGATACACAATGACAGATAATGCGAAACTACATCGATTTTTTGTCTTTTCACCTTTAGGTAATGATATATGTACATATGTATATATTCCGACGAATTGATGACCTCCTCCTTTTTTTGAAGTCGGCTAAAAACAATGGAGCCCTACCTGTGTTTGATACTCTTTTTATAATATTTTTTGCTTCTCCTATAAAATACTAAATTTGTTGGTTAGGGCGTTTGTAAATTAAGGTAACGATATGTAACTTAAATTAATATTGTACGATACGGTGACCATATTCATGACAGCTGAATAAGAGACAAATAATAATTTGCCAATTTTTTCCACAAAAGCCAGAGTATTGGAAAATCTTTTTCCATGATCCTAAATTTATTAGCCCTGTAACGGTATCTTTATTTAGCATATATTTTTCGATCTTTTATGAAAGCAGCACATAAATAAATAAATATAATAATAAATAAATATTCAGTTGCAACATCACACATTTCTAGAATATTTTTCCATTGTGCTCGGGATTTTCGCCCCGTAAAATTTTTTACAAAAGCATTCCTAGGCAGGGAAATATGTGATAAAAAAAATATCCAACTACTTTTGAAACAAAAGTGGCATTCAACGGATTATTTACAGAGTCGGATTTCGGCCAGGCACAATGCAGTGATAGCATCCGGAACAAGCTGAATTGCAAAACGTACCTTCGAAGGGTTCCTTTTCCCTTCCATCTTTCGAGAATTTCTTTACTTTTACAACATTCTCATAGTAGCCTTCTTATATGGAGTTTCTCATGTTGAAGATATAATCCCCCATACAATGAGCAAACATTTTTTNCAACATTCTCATAGTAGCCTTCTTATATGGAGTTTCTCATGTTGAAGATACAATCCCCCATAAAATGAGCAAACATTTTTTTATTGCCGTAGTTTCGCCTAATGAAGATATTCTCCTTTTACAAAATTTGAAAATTGACTCCACGCCACGGCTCAATGGAAAGGTAATAGTACCCGAGAAAAAAAAACAAGCCGCGTGCAATTTCTTGTTGGTTTTTGAATCCATATACGCAAACAAAGTTTAAAGATTTAGAGTAAAATTTAAACAAAACTGACAATTTAAAGACAAAATTAGCGACAAAAGTAAAATCAGCTGCTCTACTGCTGCTACCTTTTCAATCTGCTTTGCTCCACACAGAATATTCAACGTGAAATACATTGAAAAAAACCTTTGAAAAGCTAAATACTACTGCAATTTCATTTAGATATTTCAACAACAGTCATTAACGTCTAATCCCTATTCATACCCACAAATACCCAGTTTTCCTACGCAAAATTATAACTTCAGAAACCATCCACATATGTGTTCCTCGATTCGAATCATAAGCGCCCAGATTTAAAAAAGAAACTGGTTCTTAGGCACGTCATTTTAAGGCGCCAAAATACCGAATACGGGACAAATACGGGACATTAAAAGAAATGTACTTGGCGTCCCGTATGAAATAAATAAATTACCAAAATACAGGACGGATGGTCACCGTACCTATGGGTGATAGGCTTTAAGTTTCATTTTATTTAAAAATTAGCATTTGTAACCGACTTCCAAAAAAGGAGGAGGTTATCAGTTCGTCGGAAGATTTTTTTTTATGTATGTCCGCATAACTTTGGACCGCGTCAACCGATTTCGATAATTCTCTTTGCATCGGAAGGATAGTGTCTCAGAGGTAGTCCCATACTAATCTGGTTTAGATCCGATCATTGGATCATGAAATATATATATATATTTTTTTAAGTCGTTTTTTTGCTAAAAATTACTTGTTTACTTTTATTGTTTTATTTAATTTCTTTAATCTTTTATTTTTAAGTTTTTTATTTTCTAAATTTTATTTTTTTTTTAATATTTTTTCGTTTTATTTATTTTTTTCTAATTTTTTTATTATTTCTTTAATTATTTAGTTGTTTTATTCTTTCTCTAATTGTTAAATTTTTCACTTATTAGTTTAATTTTATTTTTATTTGTAACTAAATTTTCTATTTTAAATTTTTATTTGTGTACTTTTGTTGATCTACTTATTTTTAGTTTTTATAGTTTTATTTAGTTTCTTATTTTTTATTTGCGTTTTTATGATTTTTTACGTTTTTCAATAGTTCCATTTTTTTCTTGTTATTTTATTTTTTTTTACGCNTAAATTTTCTATTTTAAATTTTTATTTGTGTACTTTTGTTGATCTACTTATTTTTAGTTTTTTATAGTTTTATTTAGTTTCTTATTTTTTATTTGCGTTTTTATGATTTTTTACGTTTTTTAATAGTTCCATTTTTTTCTTGTTATTTTATTTTTTTTACGTCTAATTTTTACTATTAATCAGTTTTTCTATTAGCATGCACCCTTTTCGAAGATAAAAATTGCAAAATAAAAATAAAAAGCAAATATGAAATTAAAATAAAAAACAAGCGTATTTTTATTTTTTTATTTATTGAAAAAATTTAATTTTAACACTTTTCAAAAGCGAACATACACACTGAAATATTAAAAATCCACATTTCAAAAATCCGACAAATCATTAAAATTTAAATTATGCAAAGCAAAAAGTTGAACAAAGATAGTTTGAATACTATTATGAAAACGTATTTGTATGGCCTTACCTAGGAAATTCTGTACAGAAAAGCTTCTATATTTCAGTAAAGGCATACAAGCCCAAATTATCACCAAGCCAATTATTTTTACAGATTAGGCAAAAAATATGATTATGAATATCTTAAATTTCCAATTTCGTACAATTTCGTATCAGAAAAACTTTGTAATGAAAGCTTTAACTGTTTAGTTTTTAACCACTCCATTCAAAAGTATATCAGTATGCTCAATTTTACAAACAATACTTGCACTACTTTTCCAGCTGATGTGTTAATTTCAAGCAATTTTTTTTTTATTAAAAAAACGTCCAACCCATTACCGAAAATTGTAATACAAACTTAACTTATTCGCGATTTAAACAAACTAATAAAAATTTGCAAGTTGGATCTACTGAAAGTTATATGAACTTACCGCGCCACCGACTACTTTGCGCATAGCTGCCGCCTGAGATGCTGCCGTATTAATATCCATGCTGCTCCCCGTCCCATTACCGCCCATCAACGGGCCGACACCACCGCCAACACCAACACCACTGCTGCCACTCACATTGCCAGTCATATTCGAAACTCCGCCATAGACACCGGAGGCGGCATTCATGCCCGTTGGAGCAGATAAATGATTCATTGTCTTCATCTGTTGCATCCCCACCACGCCCACGCCAACGCCCATAGCAGACTTCACTGCATTTGCGGCCGCTACACCTGCCGCAGCTGCCGCTGAAAGTCCTACTGCAGAGCCAACTAAGCTACTGCCGCTGCCACAACCGCTTTTGTCACCTTTCGGACTTAGACTGGTTGCAGTGGCACTTTTTAGTGTGGACATACTTGGCTTGCCTGATGAACCATGCTTCGGTGAGTGTGTGCCGAATGGTGACTTCGGGCTATTCGATGCGGTATTTGTGTGCTTCGGACTGCTATAGACGGGCGAATGTTTCGGGCTGGGGCGTGTGGAGAGCAAGGCAGCATTGCCGGCAGCTACCAGGGTGGCAGCTGCACTGCCACTACCTAACATGCCACCGCCACTGCCACCTTTGGGTGAAGAGGAAGGCGATGAAAATTTACGCGCCACTACTGTTGCGGTGGCGTCGCTAGTGGCAGCCGGTGAGTTTTGTCGCGAATACACTTTTTCTGGCGGTCCCATCGGCGAATCGTCACGCTTCTTTTTGCGCTTCTTCTCCTTTTGCGAATCGGTGGGGGATGGTCCATCCAATTGGCGTTTGTTGGTGGCGATCGCCGACATTCCGGTGCTTGAGGTTAAGCCGCTAGCGCAAACTACGGAGGTACCGCTGTTGGATTTCTTATCTTTTCCAGCAATGCTGTTGCTGCCAACAGCATTTATGGGCGTTATAGTAATGGTGGATGAGGTGTTAACGGCGGATTGGGGTATAGTTGGAGCGCTAGAGAGTGTTGCAGTACCGCCACTGCCATTCCCGCCATTTGCAGCACTCCCTTGTGTCGTTAAAGGTATGATTTCAATGCCTACTGCGCGTTTTACGTCGACACCCTGCTGCTGTTGCTGTGCGCCTCTACTATTACTATCCGGCGAAATCGGTGTTATGCTAACGCAGTTCTTTAGGTTCGTCGTCTTATCCATCCAAATGTTCTTGTACTTATCTGCGATTTCTATCTCAGATTGCTTACCGGCACCTATTTGGTCATGCAACGTTGCTTGTTGTTGATGTTGCAGCTGCAACTGAGATTGCTGCAAGTGGTGTAAGCCGCCCAAAGAGCTGCTCTCCACAGCATGCAGCGCTAAGCTATTTTGCATTTGACTCTTTGGGCTGTCATGAAAATCCTCTTGCTTTACTTCAGTTTTATATTGCAGAAAGCCTGCAACGCCAGCAGCATTGCTACAAGCTGCGCCACCACCACCACCACTTAATGGTGTCGATGCAGAAGCCATAGTAGGCATTTGCTGCTGCCTCGTATTAGGTTCCATTTTCACGGCATTACCGCCCCGCACTCCACTAACACCGCCCGAGTCGCTGTGTCCTACAACCATACTAAAATTTCCATAACCACCAGCGGCTGTACCACCGCAAGCGCCCGTGCCACCCAAACCGCCTATTCCACCCCCGACGCCACCGCCCATGCTGCGTTGAAACATTTTCATCGTTTCTTGATCCCAGAACTTTAGTAGCGCACGTATAGTCACCGGTATGGACAAGCACTTTTCCACAATCTTCGTGAGTTTCAATGACAGCAAGTCGTAGTTGTTAGTGAGTGAGTATATTGTACACTTTACATCGCCATCGCGCAAATCGAACTCAACGGTAGCCATAGATTCCTCGTAAGGGTGTTGTAGCGAGACGCTAATCTGCTGGAAGGAGATTGCATTCACCTCGAGTATTGTAGTGGATTCCATGTCTGAAGGGGAAAAATATCAAATTATTTTCAACAACTATTTAGCAAAAGTTCACGAAAAGCTCACCATTTCCCATTTTTGACTGTGTACGCACACAACTAGCCAGAAGCGTATAGAAGAGGGCTTGCCGTTTGAGAAAATCTAAGATTTTTGGTACTTGCATGGGCTCGGTATAGGGAATGGATGAAACTAAAGTAGCCTGCGAAAACAAATCGAGGGGTTAAAATAAGGTGAAGCATATGAAAGTCTTCCAAGAATTAAAAATATTTTGACTCTATGCGCCCAAACTGTAAAATGCAATACCCACCTGCAATTGTTTGTTTTCAGTGAAGAAATAGCAGTGTGTCTGATCAGGCAAATTCACAAACAATCCCTTCTGCGAATTTTTCAGCTGTTGCTCGGAGGCCGTCTGTACCACCAAATTCATAATGGGTAAAATAACAATTTCCTTTTTGTTGGGCGATTCAATGCCACTGGTGGTATCTGAAGCAACACCCAACGGGATCCCTAGTGCTCTCAAAGAAGCATGACATACTGGTAGTGGTTTATTTAGCCGCAGCACAAATGTTGCAGGGAAAAGCATTGAGTTTTGTTGTGTCAGTGGCGCATATATAGGTACTTCGAGACCAGTCTGTGGATCGTTTGTAACGCTCACAATTGGCAATATTTGTAACTTATTCGCTGACGAGGCCTCCAAATTCACTGTCACACTTAGGCCGACATCTTTGCCTGTAATCAATTCAGTGGTGAGCTGTTGTACTGATTTAGACTCCAGCGATATGAGATCGTAAGGTGAGACGAAATATATGAGTTTCATGGGATGACCACCACGCCTCTTCAACACCAAACCCACTGAGGATGCCTTGACCAGATGCTGTGAGTCTTTTGTGAAGTTTTGCATTTGAAAAAGATTATACAAATCTGTTTCCATCGCTTGCAATGCAACAAAGGCCTTTGTTTTGACTTTTGGTTCCGCATTCAATTGATAGATCGAGGACAGACCCTCCAGTTGCACCGTAAAATCAGCAAAGTCACCACGATTTAAACAGTTCACTAACTCACTGCACGACTGCTGCTCAATTTTACACTCATGATGCACTTTCACATCGGTGAGTGCGCCATTCGTATCTAACATGATTTCCAAAAAGAACATATCAGTCGAAATAAATAATCCTGAAGTGTCTTCCATGAATTTAAGCCCCAACTGTCGTGATAAGCTTTCGAGGCGTTCAACTAGACCCTGTCTTGATGTTACTTTAATGCAATGCTGCATGCTATCGAGACATTTTTGCAAATTAGCCTTTTCCACAGCGTCGAGGGCATATCGTTTTTCTAGCATGGACATACGCATGGCTTTTGATAATTCAGCAAATGATTTGTGTTGATTGGATCGCGAACGTATACGCTCCATAAGCAGTTCTCGCTGCCATTGCTTATTTTTCTCAGCTGCACTGGGCGCAGAGCTGAGCAACTGAGCAGCTGTAGTGGCTAAAAAATTATTTAAACATAAATTCATTAAATTATAGATACCTATAAATAAGTATACAAAAGTAGGATAGATTGGAAATACACGATTTGAATCCGTGAAGGAATTTTTAATTCGGCAAAATCATCTCTAAATTATATTTCAATAACTAATTACTATTCTAATATGAATAAATGCTTTGTAGGTATGGAATGAAAGAAAAGCTACTCAAGTAAGTTGATAAAAGTTTACTTGGTTAGGACAGCGGCTTAGGAGAAAAACATCGACGTCCCGGAAGACAGATACTTATGTAGCTACAAATTATTGCGAAGGAGGGAAAGATGCCGGAATGATTAATATTCATCATTATTTGATACTGTCCGAAAGATGTTCTCATCTGCACTCTTTTACTGGAAATGCAGCTAAATCGAAAGGAAAGCAAAATCTAAGTAGCGAATTCTGTGGACATATGACGGACAACTTAAGTCTGTCTTTCACGGACAAACAAAATTGCAACAAAAGCATGTTTTCGTTTAAATAAAATTGATTGCTCTGACGGTAAGGCCATAATCTATCGTCGTAATGAATCTCATGAGCGTAAACTTTATTTTAAAACCAAATTTTCTTTTTTTTTGGTCACTAATTTATTAATAAATTCGGTTTGAAATATGTACTTTTTTGTGAATTTATTTATTTATTTATTCAGTAGGATTTCTTTGCAAAAATACTGTGGATCGCCTAGACGGAGTTGAACGGATGAGGGTATTCCGAGTTGTTGTTGTTGTTGTAGCGGCTACAACAACCCCGCCCAGATCGGTTGGTATCTCAGTCGTTGTCGTCAAGTTCCACTAACGGCAACCCTAGGAAGCGTGCAGCTTCTGCGGGGTTTGCCCATAAGGACAAGGTCGTTAGGGATGTCGGGTTTGCCGGGCATGCGAAGAGATGTTTCGAGTCATGTGGGGTCTCTCCGCATGCCGGACATTCATTAGGCACATCCTCATTCAGCCTACTCAGGTAGGAGTTTAACCTGCTGCAGTAGCCGGAGCGAAGTTGTGCAAGTGTGGTGCGCGTCTCCCGAGGCAGATGAAGCTCCGTCTCGTCAATGTCCGGGGGTGGTGTGCCTAGAACGGCATTCACAGGTCTAGAGTCTACATAACTCGAGACTGAGTCCCTGTGAATGCCGTTCAAGGCCTGTCTGTAGGCTGTCGGGTCCAGAGGTTGCTTAATGAACCTCTGGACTTCGTCCGTTAGTTCATATAGATGCCTCCTGACGTGCCTAGGCGAGGGCTCCTCTGCAAGCAGCTGTCTGCACGGGTGGCCACTTCTGTGGGTCCCGATCAGGAACTGCTTGCAGAGCATTATATTGTGCTCCTTTACCGGGAGCATTTGCGCCTCGCCGTGCAGGTGGTGTTCAGGCGTCATCAGGAGGCATCCCGTCGCTGTCCTCAGTGCGGTGTTTTGTGCGGTCTGTAGCTTCGTCCACTGCGTCCTACTAGTCCCAGGCGACCACACTGGCGCTGCGTAGTTCAAAACCGGCCGGCCTATTGCCTTGTATGTTGCCAGCAACGTTTCTTTGTCTTTGCCCCAAGTACTGCCGGCTAGCGACTTGAGGACCTTGTTGCGGCTCTGTACTTTATTGACAATAGCGGTTGAGTGCGCAGAGAAGGAGAGCAGGCTGTCGAATGTTACTCCGAGTATTTTGGGGTTATTCACCGTCGGAATTGGTGTGTCATCGACGTGAATCCCCAGCGGTAGCCTGACCTCCTTCGTCCAGGTTGTGAACAGGGTCGCGGAGGATTTCGTAGGGGAGAGGGCTAGACACTTTGCAGTGAAGAAGCGAGAAAGTTCGGAGAGATAGCCGTTTACTTTCAAACACAGGTCATCAATTCCATTCCCAGTCGCCATGATCGAGCAATCGTCGGCATAGGAGACAATCGAGACTCCCTCTGGTGGTTGAGGGAGCTTTGAAATATAAAAGTTAAACAGTAGCGGGGAAAGGACACCACCCTGAGGAACCCCCTGTTTTATTTTTCGCTGCTTACTCGTTTTGTCTCTAAACATTACCGACGAATGTCGACCACTCAGATAATTTGCCGACCACCGTTTGAGCCTCTGTGGGAGAGAGGAGGCCTCTATATCTTCTAGTAGCGTGGAATGGCAGACGGTGTCAAACGCCTTTGACAAGTCCAACGCTACTAGAATCGTTCTCTCACAGGGACGGTTACGGTTAAGGCCACGAGTTATCTGAGTGTTTATGGCGTTAAGTGCTGTTGTTGTACTGTGCACTTTACGGAAACCATGCTGATGCTTCGCTGGGGTCAGGTGGTTTGTGAAGTACGGGAGTAGCAAGGCCTCGAGTGTCTTCGCTACCGGGGAAAGGAGTGTAATCGGACGATACGAATCTCCTTTGTTGGCAGGTTTCCCCGGTTTGAGCAGTGGGACCACTCTCCCCACCTTCCAGATGTCTGGGATGATGAGAGTGGCCATTGACAAGTTGAGGACCTCCGTTAGGTACGCTACCCCCGCAGGACCCAAATTTTTCAGCATCAGCATGCATATTCCGTCGGGACCCATGGCTTTGGAGGCTTTCGCCTTCCCGATGGCCACCTGAACTTCACCGCAAGTGAAAGCAAGGGGGGCACAAGTTGTTGGCAGTTTGTGCAGCCTTCTGGTCACTCGACGCTTGGCTTTGTCCACCGGAGGATGCAGTATGAACTGCCGGCTAAAATAGCTCGCGCATCGCTCCGGGTCCGACGAAGCATGGTCGCCGAAGGAAATTTCGACTCTGTCGTCGTGCTTCGTCGGATTAGACAATGACCTCACGGTTGACCAAAGCTTGCTCACACCAGAGGTGAAATTACAAGTCTTCAGATGCTCCTCCCACTTCTTCCGCTTATGTACGTTTACAAGTTGCCGAATCTCCGCGTTGAGATCCCTGATACGGGGATCTCCGGGATCGGCCTGACGAAGGCTATCACGCTCATCGGCTAGAACAGCCGCTTCGGCAGGGAAGTTTGGACGTGGGTCCGATATACATCCTGCCGGTATGAAGCGAGCTGCAGCAGCAGTGATAGCCCTGCGGAACTTACGTTCACCGAGATGGACGTCGGTTGGTGTGGGGAGCGATGCGAAGGTGTTTTCGGTAAACTCCGCGTAACCTTTCCAATCAGCTTTAGAAAAGTTGATATAGGTCCGGTGTTTGGCGGAGGCAAAGTCGGTTGGTTTATCAATCGAGATGACTATGGGTAGATGGTCTGATGCTAGAGTCAGCATAGGTCGCCACGTTATGCTGTTTATCAGACCAGCGCTGACTATTGTGATGTCTGGCGAGCTACTGCAGTTACCCATAATCCTGGTGGGTGCGTCGTCGTTCATTGTGCAGAATGTCGAATCGTCTATCTGCTCAGCCAAGTCTGTTCCCCTACGATCGTTTGACAGGCTTGAGTGCCAAAGATCGTGGTGCGCATTAAAGTCACCTACTACCATACGGTTTTCACCTCTGAGGAGCGCACCTATATCAGGGTGATATCCTGCCGGGCAGCAGGTGACAGGGGGTATGTATATGTTAAATATTTCGAGCTCGACATCGCCTGACCGGATAGCGATGCCCTGACATTCTAGGGTGGTATCCCTGCGGTCGATGTCTGCTTCGATAAGACGATACTGCACGGTGTGGTGCGTGATGAACGCTAAGCCACCACCATTATCTCGCTCGCGATCTCGACGGTGCACGTTGTACCCGGCGCAATTCAACAAAGTTGAATTGCTGTGCAACTTCGTCTCTTGGACCGCAGCTATTAATATACCATGCCGACACATGAAGACGGTTATCTCCTCAATCTTGCTCTGTAGCCCGTTACAGTTGAATTGAAGGAGCTTCATGTGGTTCGGGAGACGTGTCGTGATGTGGGGTGTAAGTGAAGTGTATGTTCTTGCCGCCGTTGGCTGTGTGTGCTGCTGAGGTGATTGCCGCCCTGTGGTGGTGGTGGGGGGCGTCGCAATTGAAGTCTGCGACCGAGCAGCGCAACACGGGCCCTCGAAGTTCCCCGTCCAATCTCGCGTGGTACGCAGACCTGAACATGCCCTAAAGTGGCACCAGCCAAGGCAGGTGTTGCACTTGACTGATGTCACATTACGGAATATCCTGGTCTGACATACCGTGCAGATTGTAGGGGGAACCAGGAGTTGTTGGCGGCGGCGTGTGGGTGGTGGTGCGGTTGTGTGAGTTATGTGGTCTGTGGTGGCTGTGGTACGGTCTGTGGTGTTATTATGTTGTTGTGTTGTGGCGACTGTGTGTGGTTGCTGTGTGAGTGTGTGGGGCTGCACGGGCGGACTATGGTTTGCCGTGGAGGCTGCTCTGTTTGAGCAACAGGGGGCCACGTACGACGTGGTCCACTGTCTGTGTGTCCGTAGTCCCGAGCAGACCCTGAGGTGACTCCACCCCTCGCAGGCATTACACTTGACTGAGGTGGAGTTGTGGTGTAATCGTCTTCGGCATACACAGCAGGTGTATATTTCTGGCCCAGGGTTTGACTCGATGCCAGCCCTGAGTAGGAGAATGCGTAGTGAATGTTGCCCTATGGACGGACAACTTCTGAGATACTTCGCCGACCTAAACGGGGTTAGATCGCCGAAACAACAGCCCTTGGTCGGGTGAAACCCGAGTCATTCCGGTACGTAGAACCGGCTGTCGTGGGAATGGGTATTCCGAGTCTACAATTTCTGTGCTAAATGCTAATTTTACGCCATTCAAATGGTTCCCAAGGTCTGAGGAAGGGGTGAAGGAGTCAGGTATGATGCATTACAAAGTTTGAACTGTGCTCTTGCTAGTGGGTGGAGTATCAAGAGCCACGCCTCCAACTAAAGATTACCAAAATATATTCCAAATATCTACCAACAATCATATTGCATTGCTAGTTATTAAGCTTGTAATAAAATTAACATGTGAAATAAAAAAGGAATAGAATTTTACACTCACTCGTTGTTGCAACCGCAGGCTTTCCAATGGCGGAACTCATTTTAGTTTACAAGTCGTATAGTAGCATGCAGCAAAGCCGGTGAGCGTAGCAGCGCTATATGCGTTTCGACGGGCAGCCAATTGTGGTCGCAACAGCGCTCTTCAGATGCAAAAAACTTTTCGAGATTGCCTGCTTTAACTTGCTATTGTGGACTTGCAACTTCTTGTAGTTTACAAATCCATATTGAAATTTCTTTGCAAAAGAAATTTGCTTTATGCGTTTTTGTATAGTTTACACAGTAAAAACTTTTTTTTACCACAGCACAAATTTCTTTTCCGTGGTTTCTGTTTTAACACTTTTATAAAGATGTAGCCCATTTATCGATTTTTACAAAATCTTTAGTTTATCGAGCAAAGAAATTTGTCATCGTCGAACATGTATATCAACGCGAACAAGGCGAATTAATACAAGGTGGTCAAGGCGAATTTATACAAGGTGGTGTTGATGGCGAATTTAGATTTTCGCCGCGGTACTTATTAATGTCAAAATAATGTGTTTGTTGTAAACAAGGCGAATTCATATTACAACAAACACACTAAGTACCACGGCGAAAATCTCAATTCGCCATCAACACCACCTTGCATAAATTCGCCATGAGGTGGTTCATGGCAAATTAGATTTTCGCCTTGAAGGCGAATTTATATTACAAGAAACACATCATTTTGACATTCATAAGGACTGCGGGAAAATCTAAATTCGCCAGTAACACCACCAAGGCGAATTTATACAATTTATTTATATATGAATTCGCCATGTTTACAACAAACACATCATTTAGACATTAGGAAGTACCGCGGCGAAAATCTAAATTCGCCATCAACATCACCTTGTACAAATTCGCCTTGAACACCACCTTGTATAAATTCTGGTTGGGGCGACAAAAAACGTTGAAGAGAAAGTGAGCGATGATAGAAATAAAGGAAATAAGATCGGTCGGTGATATGAGAAGTTTTGTTTGGCAAACTGAGTACAACTGTTTTTGCAGAAAACTCAGAGAGAGCGAGTTTGGCGACTCCCACAGCAAACTAATTTTGTGTGGTCAAACTGCCGCAAATTCGGTGTTGTCATATACAAAAATTTTAGATTATTATTGTTATACACAAAAATTGCCGTGATACCGAAAGCCAGAGAACTGAATTAATGCTGTAGGAGGTTCAAAGATAGTGGCGCAGTTAATTGCCTATACGATATCATAAAAATATATTAATTGTGCGCGTTAAGTACATTTGAAATTTTCATTTAGTGTTGGCAATAGCCATGAAAACCATAATTAACGTGCAACCCTGTGCCAAACTCGACATAAACATCTCCGAGCAAACTAAGCAGCCGCCATTTAATTTGGCAAACAAAAGTTTGTCTGCATAACACCGACCTAACAAAAAAGACGGCCTCGACTCTTTTCGCCGCGCACATTTTCAAAGTAACGAGTGTTCCGTTTTTATAAATTTACCTTTGCTATTACGAGGTTGTTGTTTTTGTTTCCAATGCAATGTTCGCAAACCGCCCCCCAAAAGACGAACATGCACACCAAGCATGAGCTTGCCCGCGCACATTGTCGTCGTGTTTGCCCAGGATAAATCATTGCGTATGTAGGGCCTTTAATTTGTCTGGGGTGTATCGTTTCTTTCCCATGCTCCTATGTTCAAAGTATCACCTTGTACTTCCGGTAGTGCAGGAATTCAGCGGATGACACTTGAAAACAAAAACAAAACAGACGTCAGAAGTGTTTCGTTTCGGGGGTGAAGTTTTTATATACGACTGATTGCGAATTTTTCTTGGGGTATCAAAATTTCGACGGCTTTAGGGGATTTAATTCCAAACCAAATAGTGAAATAATTCGAAATGTCCTCATTAATTTTGCTGCGCAATGGCCAGTTAGCAAGTAAGTTGCAATGGAGTATACTAAAAGTATTATGACAGGAGTATGTATAAAACTTATGTAACTTACGTTTAGCTCTGAAATATTTCCAATAATTTGGTATGATTATGCAGAGTTCCTTATTTCTATTTCAGAGCAACAGGGCAGTGCCGCATTGAGTGTATTTTGCGTGCGCCACTCGTCGAGCTCTTCCGATGCGCCCCGCCCACTGAAGTCAACCAATCTCGGCACGATGCGTCGCGGTACCGGCGGACGCAGCAGTTTCAATGGTATTGTTGCAACCGTATTCGGATGTACAGGTTTTGTGGGGCGCTATGTTTGCAATAAACTGGGCAAAACTGGCACCCAAATGATTCTTCCCTATCGTGCTGATTTCGGTGAGGCTATTCGTCTAAAGGTATGCGGCGATTTGGGCCAAGTGCTATTCCAGTTTTTCGATTTAAGAGACGAAAAGGCTATACGCAATGCTGTGAAGTACTCTAACGTTGTCATCAATTTAATCGGTCGCGAATTCGAGACGAAGAACTTCAAGTTCAACGATGTGCATGTAGAAGGTGCTCGCCGTATTGCTAGGTATGCAAAAAACTAAATTATGGTATAGGTTTGGTTCATATACAAATATTTATTCGTATCTCTTTTACAGAATCAGCAAAGAAGCTGGCGTTGAACGGTTGATTCACTTGTCTGCACTGAATGCTAGTCCCGAACCCATGAGCTTTGTTCTCGAGGGTGGGAGTAATTTTTTGAAGAGTAAATACTGGGGTGAATGCGCGGTACGCGATGAATTCCCTGATGCAACCATTATCAGACCAGCAGATATCTATGGTTCTGAGGATCGTTTCCTCCGCTATTATGCTCACATTTGGCGTCGTCAATTCCGCGCGATGCCACTATGGTTCGCCGGAGAGCGTACTGTAAAACAACCGGTTTATGTGTCGGATGTAGCGCAAGCCATTATCAATTGCGCTAAGGATCCAGATACCGCCGGTCAAGTTTACCAAGCTGTAGGGTAAGTGTCATAAAATATTATATCAAATTTTTTAACAATCTAATTTTTACAGCCCCAAGCGCTATCAGCTGAGTGAATTGGTCGACTGGTTCCATCGCGTTATGCGCAAGGACGAAAAATGGTGGGGCTATCATCGCTATGACATGCGTTGGGACCCTACTTTCCTTCTCAAAGCCAAATTCACAGAACTTATCTGTCCAGGCCAACCCATAGGCGAAGTACATGTGGAGCGTATTGAACGCGAATGTGTTACCGATGTTGTGCGTTCGGACATACCATGTCTGGAGGATTTAGGTGTACAACTAACTGCCATGGAGGATCAAGTACCATGGGAATTGCGGCCATATCGTGCAGCGCAATATTATGATGCCGAATTGGGAGAATGGGAGGAACCATCACCACCTAAACCAATAGCGCATCGTGATGAATTGCGTATGTTTGCATAAAAATACGGCCAAGGCAACAACGCTGACAACGAGAAAAGTTATGAAAGTTATAGGCAAGGTAAATCAAACGATAGTTGGTGGCGTTGGTGGCCAGGCAGTGATTTGAATAAGAAACATTTACAAATACGCGAATTACTATTCGTTGTACTTGTTGTGCGTTCTCTGTGGTACGGAGTAACATCTAGTGAAATATGGTCGATTATGAATGATTTTGGTGTAGTAACTGATGAAACTTTGAAAGGCAAATAAAATAAATAAATTGCAAAATTACGCATTTTCTAAAAATCGATAGATGTTATTCATGTATATTTTTTTTACATGTTTGGATGGATGGCCCTCTATAAGTTTAAATATTTCCCACGTTTGCTTGTACTTTGCTTAAATTTTCCTGAACCGATTCTATCCTAAGAGTCTCGTAGACAATTGATGAGTTTATTATCATTAAATAATATAACATCATTTCTGTCTGTTTCATTCCTTCTTGACACCCTCGTGTAAAATTGACTGCTCGTCCCTTCTTGGGTTGATAGATTTCAAACGCTCCAATTAACAGGACTTTCGAAATATTTAGATCTTGTTGGAATCATAATCAATTAATTGCAATCCATTGCAGAGCTACTTTCTGTGTAATCATTTAAGATAACGTTTATTGTATCTACTCTTTAAGTACATTGCACTGTGTAATTGTAATATTTCATAATGTCTGTACCATATTCGACTTAAGCCATCAAAATGAATTAATTTACTATTTAATATTTTACTGGATTCATTCGGTAAATTATAGATACGTATGTATTAATGGGCCATATGAATAAAAAATAAGCAATTGCTTCTTCTTAAATATCAGACATTTTACTCGATTTATTCAAACAAAATTGAAGTAAACGGTATGAAATTTTAAGAAAAAGCAATTGCTTAGTTATTCATACGGCCCAATATTTATTTATAAATGTTTCTTTTTTGTTAATAATTTTTTATCGTAATATCGATATCTTAATGCATTGCTGTGAACACTGCCACCATGCAGCGGCCAGCAGCTGTCATATCCAATCGGAAGTTGCCATATCCCCGCTTATTAGAATTCAATTAGCACACACCTGAGCAGCTGATCAAAGCTTCATCGACAGAGTTATCGATTCTTTTGTTTGATCAACAGGAAATTTTCTGAAGTCTGCTCGCCTCGAAATATATGCTATTAAAAACAGGTTTAAAAGCCGGTTAAAATAAGAAAAGTTAATAAATTTACATATATTTACGTGCGTGTGTGTATGGCAACTCCTGCGTTTCGTATTGCTGCAAATAGAACCCGGAAAAAAGACGAGGAAACAGAAGTGTTTTCCTCATCGTGAGCCTTTCGTTTCGGTTGGCATTTGTATACATCGTTGTTCGGTTCGTTGCCCGTATGCCTTGTGAAATTTCTGGATGTTTTAATTGAAAGAAGAAGTTAAATATACATGTGTACATATATTGTGGAAAATAGCCGGTGCATAGTGTAATTTCTTTGGCTTGTGAAAATTCTATAAAAAATAGCGCGAGTGCGCGAAACTACTAAATATTTATTTACTTTGTACGTGTGTATAGTGCGCGAAATGCAAAAACTTGCAATTTAAATCACCACTCTTGGATTATTAAATGATTTGATTTTGTTCTAGCAACGTATATCATATGTACATATATCGCGTGTAGCGATTTTTCAGAGTTTTCAAGTGTATCGTTTAAGATTCTTCTATAAAACAAGTAAAAGTGTCACGCCCATTGAAGCAGCCCATATTGGCATCAATATTTAAGTACAACAGCAATACCGAAACGTCCAGGAAAAATCGAAATCCTACGAAGAGTAGTATAGCGAGGAATAGTGGAAAAACGCCCAAGAACAGGTGCAACCAAAGAAGATATAAGTTGTGAGAGCTTCGAAGCTGCCTCTAGCTTATGTATGTATAAAATTGTTGTACAAAAGCAAAAACAAGCAGACTATCCCTGTGAAAATATTGGACCAGAGAGAAGCAATTG